AAAGATCGAACTGTGAAGACTCTGGCACAAGCCAGTCAAGATTGTCTCAGTGGTGATCGGCACACTGGGTGCAGTGCCTAAAGACCTTGGCCTGCACTTAAACACAATCGGCGCTGACAAGATTACCATCTGCCAGCTGCAAAAGGCCACCTTACAGGGATCGGCACACATTATTCGCCAATACATCACACAGTCCTAGACACTTGGGAAGTGTCCGATGTGTGATCCAATTCAACAGCCAGCAGAGTGTCTGCTGTGGACTCATCTTGTTGTGTTTCAAATAATAATAATAACAACAACAACAACAACAACAACAATAATATACTTTATGTATTTTCCACCCTATCTCCCCGAGGGGACTCAGGACAGATTAAAATATACATATATGGCAAACATTCAATGCCGTTTTACAATTAACAAAGACAGACAGTACATAAACAGAGGTAAAGGCTTCCCGTCTTTTTCCATCTCTGGCATCTGGAGGCTGTGCTCAACTCCAGCCAGGAGGGGGTGCTGTCACTCCATCTTCCATGCCGAGGAGCTTTGTTGTCTTTCGATGCTCTCCCGATCGAATTGCTGGCATGTCCGCATGGGCGTCTTTTCTTACCTCCCTGCTAAAGCAGTACCTATTTACTCACATTACTGTTTTCGAACTGCTAGGTGAGCAGAAGCTAAGCTGATGTTTGGGAGCTCACCCCAAATCTGGCTTGAACTGTCGACCTTTTGATCGGTAAGATTTTCTGCAGCTGGTGGTTTAACCCACTGTGCTAAAGCCCGGCCCTTTTAAACAAAGCATATTTTTCTGAAAAATAAATGTAAAATATGGGCATTTGCTTGCTGATGAGGTGGGAGATTTAAACACAACTCAGATCTCATCTCAGGACTGTATAACTATACTTGGCCTCTTGTTTTCAGTGCCGTTACTTATATTTCCTCCCATGGAATTTTGCCTTTTCTCTTGGCATCACAAAGTTGCTGTTTTCTTTGTGCTGTCTTACACAACTCCACAGTCTTCCCTAAAAGATCGGCATCATATATGTGTATATGGTTTTCAGTCTCCCAAATACTTGACACTTCTCTTAAGAGTAGGTGAGAGCTTAGAAAAATAGATATGCTCATTTTGTGGTTATTAACAGGAGTGCACAATTTGTGGCCCTTCCGATGTTGCTGCATATCTAGTGGTGAAGTATGATAGAAACTGTAGTTCAATCAAATCTGACAGGTCAGAAATTACTCCTTCTTAGGTTCTTGTGGGGTTTTTTTGGGCTATAGAGCCATGTTCTAGAGGCATTTCTCCTGACGTTTCGCCTGCATCTATGGCAAGCATCCTCAGAGGTAGCTCTGAGGATGCTTGCCATAGATGCAGGCGAAATGTCAGGAGAAATGCCTCTAGAACATGGCTCTATAGCCCAAAAAAACCCACAAGAACCTAGTGATTCCAGCCATGAAAGCCTTCGACAATACATTACTCCTTCTTAGATTATACCTTTGAAACACTGGTAGAAGTCTTCCAGTTGACAGCATCAACAGCACTGTGTCTGTCGGCACAAGTGTCCTCCTCTCAATTGCTTTTATTCTGGTTCCAGGTGGAAATCTTACCCCAAGGCCGCGAAAGTCCTCTCTTCAAGCAATTCTTCATAAACTGGAAATGAAAGCTGAGTCTACACCTGACCTAATAATATTCTGCGCATGTGCCTTACTTTGCCTCAACCATTTTGCCTTATTAAACTGGTCATTGTGTTGTCTTACATTCTGCTTATTGCAGTGTAATAAAGCAAACACAAAAACGACTGCCGTTGAAGCACAAATATGGTGTAGAAGACTGCATTGCCATTTCACTACCTTTCTGGAATGACCCAAAACAACTGACAAAAGACCTGGGCCCCATTTAGACTATCATATAATGCAGTTTGATCTGTATTATAGTCTCAGTGTAGACTCAAAAAATGCAGATTGAACTGGATTATATGAGTCTACACTCCAACTAATACAATTCATAGAATTATAGAGTTGGAAGAGACTTTGTGGGCCATCCAGTCCAACCACCTGCCAAGAAGCAGGAAAATCGCATTCAAAGCACCCCCCCCCCCCCCCCCCCCCCCCCCCCCCCCCCCCCCCCCCCCCCCCCCCCCCCCCCCGGCTACATGCCTGATGAGCATGTAATCATTTTTGCTTTCTTCTTACCTGTGTGGCAGTATTTTGTGTGCTTGGCACCTACATCCAAGGCAGTCTGCTTAATCATACAAAATTAAAATGAACCAAAAACTTTGCATACTTTTAATGTTAATACCTGTCAAACATTACCACAGCCTTTTGTGTCCCATTTCATCACAACTTTGTTTTGGATCCTATCCATTCCAAGAAAGGCATGCTGGGTGCACTAAATAGAGCATTTGTGTCTTCTTGTTTGGAAGGGGGTCACAGACATGTCAACTTGTCATTAGAATCCCCATTAACAACAGGAAATCTAAGCCGCCCAGTTGTGGTGAGCTGATTGACACTCCCTCCCTTCCTCTCTCCTGGATTTGTATGCTTCGCTCTGCCTTAGGCCTCTCCGTTTTTTCAGTAAGAGTCTGTGCAGTCTTTGGGCCATAATAAGCCTTTGTCAATCAGCCAGGCAGGTCCTGGCAAGTAATTCTGAATCATTGCACAGCTGCATTGATGGAGCAACTGCAAGAAAGAAACTGCTGTTGTGCTCTCCCTTAGAGTGACTCATGGTTTCTAAAAGAGCAGGACCGCTGCAGATTCCAGTTGTTTGTGTCAAAGTGATGAGGGGGTTAAAGCCCTGCTGAAGAATCACCCACTTTTTAAGACAGAGACACAAAGGGAACTCTCCAAAAGTTTGGCTTTGGAAGGGTTGTCTTCCAAGGAAAGCGCTGCAGAGGTTCCGTATAGCAATAATTACAAGGGATGTTCATTAAAGATTTCGCCTGACGCACTTCCTTTGGACTGAGAGCAATGAGACTTAGCACAGTTATGAGTCCTTCTCTCAATCGGTGCCACTTAGGGACACACACTTCTCCCATATTTTCAAGCAACTGTAAATGCCTTGCTTGTAGAAGTTGACAGGTTGACCCAAATGCCATGTTGACTTTGGAAATCAGAGTCTCGTTTTCTGAAAAATGCTTGCCCTTCAAAAATAACTTCATTGTTGGAAAGAGATGGAAGTCCGATGGTGAGAGGTCAGGTGAATAAGGGGGATATGGTCGAATTTCAAAGCCACAGGAGCATGCTTCTATTTGGACAACATGTGAGTTGTGAACCAGTGAATTGTCTTGCAGAAGGCGGATACTTTTGGTGAGCATGCCACGTCTCTTGGTTTTGATGGCCTCCTTGCAAGGAGATCCATCAATACTACTCTGTGCTGGTCCCAAAATACTGTGAGCATGACCTTGCCTGCCGAGAGTTGGGCACATGCCTTTTTTGGAGGCAGGCAAGGTCATCTTCCATTATATTGGGGATTCCTCACCTTCGGAAGAGGAAGGGGAGCAGGGAAGAGCTCAGGAATTGGAGGGAAAAGAGGGTTTGAAAGTGTCCACATTTCTAGAGCGACGAAAAGAGACCGAGCACAGACAGCGTTCAGCCAGAATAGCTGCTAAAAACACTGAGCTAATTGGGAGATGCCCTAGCAACTCCTGCATGGGGAATTCAGGGCTATAAATCAGAGGCAGGAGCAATCTGCTTTGTGTCTGCTGCTAAGGACTTAGTTCATTGCCCGTTGTCTGATGGAAGACTGGTGTTTCATTTGGGACTTTGTAAGAGACTTTAATTTGTCTCTGGTTTAAGATTTCCTTGCTTTCTTTGCACTTTTCAATTGCATTTGCTTATCTTTTGTGTTTGCCGATGTAAAGCATTTTTCTTTTACTTTCAACATTGTCTAAAGGCTGTATTTGAAGGGCAACTCAGGGCACATTACATCGACTGAACTTTAGTCTCAGGATCATAGTGATGGATCCAGCTTTCATCCTGTGTGATTAGTCTGTTGAAAAAGTCCTCCTGGTTTCCATGGCACATCATCAATAGAGCCTGAGAGGATTCAACTCAGCCCTGCTTCTAGAAAGATGTGATCAGCTGGGGGACCCAGTGAGTGGATACCTTATGCATGTGAAGATGGTCTTGGATTATTATTTTTTTCCATGGACCCCACACTAATCTTGACATTTTGGGCTAGGTGGCGAATGGTTACATGGCGATTTTTCAAAATGGTGACCTCCACTTGCTGCATGGTGTGTTCATCAATAGCAGAGTGGGGTTGCCCTAAAATTGGAGCTTTTTCCACCAAAGTCCAGCCACATATGAATTGACAATGCCATCATATGACAGGAAATCATCACCATAAACCTCTTTCATCGGGAGCCCCCGGTGACACAGTGGGTTAAATCCTTGTGCCGGCAGGACTGAAGACTGACAGGTCCCAGGTTCGAATCTGGGGAGAGCGTGGATGAGCTCCCTCTGTCATGTCCAGCTCCTCATGCGGGGACATAAGAAAAGCCTCCCACACGGATGATAAAATCATCCGGGCATCCCCTGGGCAACGTCCTTGCAGATGGCCAATTCTCTCACACCAGAAGCGACTTGCAGTTTCTCAAGTCGCTCCTGACATTGAACGTCTCCTTTCAAGCAATGGAACGTAATGTCTGATCTGTATTCCATTGGGTCCATTATCAAACCTCACACCATTTCAGCACCTTTAAAATCAAGACCGTTATCAGTTCTGAGTTGTAAATTGGCACGTAACCTCTCATTACACATGTGCAGTTTCAGCATCCTGTGATAAATAGAATTGCTTCAAGGAAAATCTTTAATGAACACCCCTTGTACTAACCTTTGGCTTTCTACGTCTTTTTGAATTTTAATTCCCCAAAATCCTTACCATTGCCCATACTGAATGGGACGCAGTGGAATCCTATAGCCCTGAAAAGGTCGCTGCCCCAGCAAGCAAAACAAGTGATGAAGAATGTTAGGAGCAGCAGTTCAACAATATCCAAAGGATAAGACGATTCAGGTCATTTGGGAGCTCACATTCCTTCCCAATTTAATTTGTACCAAAGTGCAACTTATTGAAGAATGCTTTCCCACCATGCACAACAGTCCCAACTGAGGAAACTACATCCTACTTGTTCACCAGATCCCACTTCACTGGGATGTTTCACGTTTTGCCACTTTCAGCTTGCGACAGCCATTCTGACAGCAACCATAACTGATGCTCACAGAGCAAGAAGAGGTTCCTTGCCTTTTCCTAGGGAAATCCATGCAGGGACAGAACAAGGACAGGCAGGCAGTGAAGCAAGGTGGAAGGGAGTGCTTGAAAGGCTGAACAAAAGCACGCACAGTGCTCAACCTCCAGCTGAGGACCACGCAAGTCTGGATGAAGTTCAGCTCTTGAAGCAGGGCTGGTCGGCACGGTTCTGGAAGGATACAGTTCCCCCCTACAGTCCAGCCAGTCCTTGGCTATGGAACGAGGGTAGCCTGCCTGGGGCTGGAGAGTGTCCTGGTCAAACTTCCAGTACTCCTTGCCTTTAAAGACATAGAGTGTTCCTGCAGCAAAACAAGAGTTATCGGGCATTAGTGTTAAATTGACAGAGCACAACAAGCTGAAAGAAAGAACCATCAGGGTAGAGTTTGAAATATCTAAGCATAACTTGCAATTGGCTGCTGTGAGTTTTCTGGGCTGTATGGTCATATTCCAGAAGCATTCTCTCCTGACGTTTCACCCACATCTATGGCAGGCATCCTCAGAGGTTGTGAGAGACTGCTTCTGGAACATGGCCATACAGCTCGGAAAACTCACAGCAACCCAGCAATTACAGCCATGAAAGCCTTCAAGAACACATAACTTGCAATGCTTGATGCATGAAATTTAGACATTTCTATTATGGACGGAAACCTCATTTTACCTATTTCCCTTGATCTGGAAAAGTTGTGTAACACTAGGCTAAAGCATGAAAGTAGGAGTGGAATCGGCTTTCTTAGGGCATGGCTAGATTGACAATATCCAATGATAATGTTAAACAAGAGCTGTTAAACAATAGGGATATTACCGTATATACTCGAGTATATGCTGAGTTTTTCAACCCTATATTTAGGCTGAAAAAGCCCCCTTCGGTTTATACTCGAATCAGAGTTATTTATTATTTTATTACTTATTATTTTACTGTTGTTGTTATTGTTGTTGTTGTTATTATTATTATTACATTTATTATTTTACTTTATTATTATTATTATTATTACATTTACATTATTTTACTCTTTTACTATATTAATTACATTTATTATTTTACTCAATTTTCTAGTATTATTACATATACATTCTTTTGCTCTATTATTATTATTATTATAATTATTATTATAATTATTATTAGAAACACAACAAGATGAGTCCACAGCAGACACTCTGCTGGCTGTTGAATTGGATCACATGTCGGACACTTCCCAAGTGTCTAGGAATGTGTTGTAATTATTATTATTATTATTATTATTATTATTATTATTATTATTATTACATTTATTATTTTACTCTATTTTCTAGTATTATTACATTTACATTATATTGTTCTATTATTATTATTATTATTATTATTATTATTATTATTATTATTATTATTTGAAACACAACAAGATGAGTCCACAGCAGACACTCTGCTGGCTGTTGTAGTGGATCACACATCGGACACTTCCCAAGTATCTAGGACTGTGTTGTAATCATTATTATTATTATTATTATTATTATTATTATTATTATTATTATTTTACTCTCTTTATTATTATTGGAAGGATACGTAAGCACATTTACATTCATAGAATCATAGAATCCTTGAGTTGGAAGAGACTTCATGAGCCATCCAGTCCAACCCCTGCCAAGAAGCAGGAAAATTACATTCAAAGCACCCTTGACAGATGGCCATGCAGCCTCTGTTTAAAAGCCTCCAAAGAAGGAGCCTCCTTCTAGCTGGAGCTAACAATGAGAGCTCACCATCATTGAAGAAGGTTAGATCAGAGTTTGATCAGAGTCTTATCTCAAATTACAGTTTTATATAAATATCCAAAAACATGTTACCTACTGATGCCTCAATTGGTATCTATTTTTGTATTGAAATTTAGCGGTAGCCGCTGCATTTCCCACCCTCAGCTTATACTCGAGTCATTATGGTTTCCCAGTTTTTTGTGGTAAAATTAGGTACCTCAGCTTATATTTGGGTTAGCCTATACTCAAGTATATAAGGTATTTATTTGGACAGCAATGCAAAAAATCCCATCCTAGTTCATCATCATCTGTGAACCGGAGTATTATTTTCATGTGATTTCTCACACAGGGTATCCAAAAGGAAGGGCTACTTCCTAATAGTAATGCTCTCCAAAACATATACTAAGGCCCCATCTACACTGCTGTATAATCCAGTTGAATGCAGTAAAACTGCATTATATGGCAGTGTAGACGGGGGACTAAGAAATGATAAGGTAGACAGGGAAGGTGTGGCATTGTTTGGGATGCATTAGACCAGTTTTTCTCAACCTTCCTAATGCTGCGACCCCTTTAAGACAGTTCCTCATGTTGTGGTGACCCCCAACCACAACATTATTTCTGTTGCGACTCCATAACTGTAATTTTGCTAATGTTATGAATCATAATGTAAATATCTGATATTCAGGATGTATTTTCATTCACTGGACCAAATTTGGCACAAATACCTGATACAACCAAATTTGAATATCGGTGGGGTTGGGGGAGGATTGATTTTCTCATTTGGGAGTTGTAGTTGCTGGGATTTATAGTTCATTTAAATTCAGAGAGCATTCTGAACTCCACCAACAATGCAATTGAACCAGACTTGGCACACATAACTCTCATGACCAACAGAAAATACTAGAAGGGTTTGTTGGGCATTGAGCCAGGATTTTGATTTGGGGGGGGGGGGGGGGCTGAGTCTGAGTGAAAGAGGGTCTACCCTAGCAAACCTTTTGTATCGTTACCCCAATACCCCCATGCATATGGGATATATTGAGTATGGTGATCAGATCATGATATGAATAAACTTAACAGTTTAAATAATGCACCAGTAAGGCCTTTTTGCGAACCACCATGAGAATTTCGGGGGGGCTGAAGCCCCCCAAGCCCCCCCCCCCCCCCCCCGGCTACATGCCTGGTGGGAATTGACCTTGAGTTTGGGAGCTGTAGTTCACCTACATCCAGAGAGCACTGTGAACTCAAACAATGATGTATATGGACCAAACTTGGCACAAATACTCAATATGACCAAATGGGAACGCTAGTGGAGTTTGGGGAAAATAGACCTTGACATTTGGGAGTTGTAGTTGCTGGAATTTATAGTTCACTTACAATCAAAGAACATTCTGAAGCCCACCAATGATAAAATTCGGCTAGACTTCCAATACAGAACTCCCATGATCAACAGAAAATACTGTGTTTTCTGATGGTCTTTGGCGACCCCTTTGACACCCCCTCACAACCCCCTCAGGGGTCCCAACCCCCAGGTTGAGAAACACTACATTAGATAGAGCTGTAAGCTACTCCAGGCAGTGAAAAATGTAAATCTGTGCCTCAAAAGAGTGCCATTGCAAGGGGACAATAATGCACAACACACCATCATTTTCACTGAGCACAGCATCTATGGAGGTGGAGAACTGTTCCCAAGGTGTTATTTGGAAGGGGAAGCCTTCTTCCATGTGTCCTGTAGCTTCATCATAGCTCCAGTGAAGATCTCCCTTGAAGAAATACGTTTTTCTGTCTGGAGGCCATGAGAAAGCACCATCAATGCCACCTTGCGGCAGCCCAAAGTCTGTGACGGGGCGTGGGTAAGCCTCTTCCACACCATTGTCCTTAAACACCCAGTACAGGGGTCCTTAAATGGAAAGCGAGAGAGAAAGGGAGAATGCATTACTAAGTGTACCTTAGTAAACCAAGCCACCACACCCCGCAGACCTGTGGCGCCTTGAAAAGATATTATGCCATAAGCACTCCAGAACCCAAGGCAACTTCAGTCTTCCTTAAACCACTTCCAAGTCTATTGGATTATTTATTTATTTATTTATTTATTTATTTATTTATTTATTTATTTATTTATTTATACTATATTTGTATGCGGTCTTCTAAGCCCTCAGGCGACTCAGGGCGGTTTACAATGGCAACGATTCGACGCCCCCAAACACCACAAAACATTTAAAAACATTAACACATAATATAAAACCATAACAAGAATACTAAAAGCATACATCATTTGCATCTCCTAATAAAAACATTGTCCCATCTTGTCATCCAGTTGTTCTAATTCCTATGTCTTTTACCTTGCATGTTCAAACGCTTGTTCAAACAACCAAGTCTTGACTCTTTTCCAAAACGTTAACAGGGAGGGGGCCGATCTAATGTCCCCAGAAAGGGTGTGCCATAGCCAAGGGGCCACCACTGAGAAGGCCCTGTCTCTTGTCCTTGCCAAACGTTTTTGTGACGCAGGCGGGATTGAGAGCAGAGCCTCCCCGGACGATCTTAAAGTCCTACTAGGTTCATAAGGGAAGATGCGTTCAGACAGGTAAGTTGGGCCAGAACCGTTTAGGGCAGTGTTTCTCAACCGGGGGGTCAAGACCCCTTGGGGGGGGGTGTAAGAGGGCATCAGAGGGGTCGCCAAAGACCATCAGAAAACACAGTATTTTCTGTTGGTCATGGGAGTTCTGTGTGGGAAGAGCACAGGGAGAGCATGGATTAGCTCCCTATGTCAGCTCCAGCTCCTCAGCTCCAGCTCCCTATGTCAGCTCCAGCTCCTCATGAGAGAAGCCTCCCACAAGGATGGTAAAATATCCAACATCCAGGCATCCCCTGGGCAACGTTCTTGCAGACGGCCAGTTCTCTCACACCAGAAGCAACTTGCTGTTTCTCAAGTCACTCCTGACATAAAAAAGGATTCTGGGAGCCATGGTTCAAAAAGTAATTCTTCAAAGTGTTTATGATAATCAAGATTTGCTTTAAGCTGGAGGCTGCATCAAGTAAATAATATATTACTAAGTCACTGAAGGGAGATGAATACAGCCATTCTTCATGGGGTGAGGAGTGTCTGCTCTGTGGTTGAGACATTTCCTGAAAACTGCTAAATTTAGAGGCTGCAACAAAAGGGGGAAGTTGCTTTTCAACTTTAGAACAGAACATTTAAAAGTGACGTGCTCAATATAAGTCAACAGGTGACCTGAAGGCATACGTGAAAACACAATTTGCTTAATCAAGGCTATGAGTGACTAGCAGGTATAGCAGTTAGAACAGCATTCCTGAACCTTCATGATCAGATGTTTTGGGCTGAAACTCTGGAGTCTGTTGTTCAAAACATTGGGAAGGCCCTAAACAAGACAGAACTAAGTTGTTATTCTGTGGAAGAAGTGTACTTTATGTTGTAAATATAGGCCGATAACCTGCACCAATTGAATTCCATCATAATATTTGTTGGAATATGTCCTTTTCAGCAAATGTGATCAATTAAACATAAATGATTTTGGGGTGACCTTTTAAAATAACAGGGATAGAACATGTATATGCCTATGTGTATGATGAGAGGTATTTTTTTTTAATTGTGTCATAAGCGAATTGAGAAATTGCAAGTCACTTCTAGTGTGAGTGAATTGGCCATCTGCAGAGACGTTGCCCAAGGGATACCTGGATGCAGGCATGTAGCTGGGGGGGGGGGCCTTGAGGGGCTTCAGCCCCCCCCCCTGAAATTCTCATGGTGGTTCGCGAAAAGGCCTTACTGGTGCATTATTTAAACTGTTATGTTTATTCATATCATGATCTGATCACCATACTCAGTATATCCAATATGCATGGGGGTATTGGGGTAACAGTACAAAAGATTTGCTAGGGTAGACCCTCTTTCACTCTGACTAATCCCCCCCACAAAACAAACTCAGCCCCCACCCCCCGAATCGAAATCCTGGCTACGGGCCTGCCTGGATGTGTTACCATTCTGTAGTAGGCTTCTCTCATATCCCTGCATGAGAAGCTGGAGCTGACAGACAGGAGCTCACCTTGATTCACAGATTCAAACCAACTTTCAGGTCAGCAGCTTAACTGGCACAAGGGTTTAACCCATTGCACAATGACCTGGATGTGTTACCATTCTGTGTTAGGCTTCTCTCATGTCCCCGCATAAGAAGCTGGAGCTGACAGACAGGAGCTCACCCTGTCTCACGGATTCAAAGCACCAACCTTCAGGTCAGCAGCTTAGCTGGCACAAATGTTTAGCCCATTATAGAATGACCCTCCTCTCTTCTTTCTAAGATCACACTTAGGATTTCTTCTGCAATATTACTATATTATTGTGTCAAGGTTGCCAAACACTAGTAATAACTAGCACTCAAAAACAATTTGTTTCAACTCACAAATGTAGCTCTTTGCTCTTTGGACGTTACCCACATTATTACTTTTTTAAATGTAATAATAAACATTATTATTACATTTTAATCTTAAATTGTTGATCCTAAAATGTAGTCATTTGGGGGCATTTTGGGTCACAATCGGTATTTCAAAGTGTAGGATAACAAAATGACAACTAATAAAGCAAACTCATTTGGAATGAGGATCATAGCACTCTCTGAATAAGAGGCCATTTCCCCTGACCTTAAATCCAGTCGTGTCCGACTCTGGGGTGTGGTGCTCATCTCAATTTCTAAGCCGAAGAGCCGGCACTGTCCACCTCCAGGGTGATGTGGCTGGCATGACTGCATGGAGCGCCGCTACCTTCCCGCTGGAGCGGTACCTATTGATCTACTCACATTTGCATGTTTTCGAACTGCTAGGTTGGCAAAAGCTGAGAGTAATAGCGGAAGCTCACACCGCTCCCCGTATTCGAACCTGCAAACTTTTGGTCAACAAACTCAGCAGCTCAGGACTTTAACCCACTGTGCCACCGGGGACTCCTAAGAAGCCACAGCAATAGACAGTTCACCAAAATAACTCCTAGTGAATAACATTCCAAAAGATTTGGAACATTCCAAAAACAATTGTGAATAGCATTCCAAAACATTTCAATCTCAGCTCAAGAAATCAAACAGGTGGTGCGGACTAGGGATATGGGGTCCATTCCCCTATTCCAGGAGCCCCCGGTGGCGCAGTGGGTTAAAGCACTGAGCTGCTGAGCTTGTTGATCGAAAGGTTGCAGGTTCGATTCCGGGGAGCGGCGTGAGCTTCCGCTGTCAGCCCTAGCTTCTGCCAACCTAGCAGTTGGAAAACATGCAAATGTGAGTAGATCAATAGGTACCGCTCCGGCGGGAAGGTAACGGCGCTCCATGCAGTCATGCCGGCCACATGACCTTGGAGGTGTCTACGGACAACGCTGGCTCTTCGGCTTAGAAATGGAGATGAGCACCACACCCCAGAGTCAGACATGACTGGACTTAATGTCAGGGGACTACCTTTACCTTTACCTCCCCTATTCCAAGGCTGGTAACTCCAGTCTCTCTCACACATATACAAACACATGTTCTTACCACTGAAGAAAAGGATGCGATGATCCGTGTGCCTCTCGTAAGCAGCGTCCACTTTGCGGAGAGTGGGGGGGAGGCCTCGCCAGAAGCCCGTAATCAAGGCTGGGCGCAGAGAAGTGAGGTGCCGGCTCTGGGTCAAGCGCCAGAAGTACTGGCCTGCCATGGATCAGAAGGAAAGACAGGAAAAGAGGCAGCAGGTATAATTGGAGAAGTCACCAACTTGAGAAGTCCACATAGCAAAGGATGGTTTCTTATGCCTTCTGACTTTTCTGTTGACTGAGAACTTTTGCTGTAGCATGTCGGTGTTGCCCATGTGTCAGAAGGGCCTCTGCCCCCCTGCTTACACCCCTTCTTTCTCTTTCCCTCCTCTCATACCTTTTCTCCTTTCCTTTCTCTTCCTTCCCCTGTCCTTTCCTTCCTCTCCTTTCCCCTCTTTTTCTCTTTCTTTCTTTCCTTCCTTCCTCTCCCCTGCCTTACAATGTCTCCATGGTAGCACGGTTCTCTTTGTGGCTCTTTCCTTCCTTCCTCCTTTCCTCTCAAACACATGCCACCTTTCTTTCCCAGTGACATCACAGAGGGCCACTTCACCTAGCAACAGCCAATCCAGTGGCATCACAAAGTGCCTTGCAACAGTCTTTGTGGGACAGACAGACAGACATTAACAGCCAGATAGATAGATAGAAAGATAGATAGATAGATAGATAGATTAGTATGTTACGAGGGTTGAATGAAAAGGAATGCTTCCACCTTTGTAACTCCTCAACAGATGGCAGTACTTCTTTGCGGAAGGTACTGGCTTGTTCAGTAAACTCTCCTCTACAGTTCTATTTTGGCAGGAAGCCTTAGCATTGAATGGTTGTGTTGTGAAAGTGCGAAGTGCGAATGTGTGTGTCCATTCTGGGCACCACAATTCAAGTGGTATTGACAAGCTGATATTGACAAGCTGGAATGTGTCCAGAGGAGGGTGACTAAAATGATCAAGGGTCTGGAGAACAAGCCCTATGAGGAGCGTCTTAAGGAGCTGGGCATGTTTAGCCTGAAGAAGAGAAGGCTGAGAGGAGATATGATAGCCATGTATAAATATGTGAGAGGAAGCCACAGGGAGGAGGGAGCAAGCTTGTTTTCTGCTTCCCTGGAGACTAGGATGGAACAATGGCTTCAAACTACAAGAGAGGAGATTCCATCTGAACATGAGGAAGAACTTCCTGACTGTGAGAGCCGTTCAGCAGTGGAACGCTCTGCCCCGGAGTGTGGTGGAGACTCCTTCTTTGGAAGCTTTTAAACAGAGGCTGGATGGCCATCTGTCAGGGGTGATTTGAATGCAATATTCCTGCTTCTTAGCAGGGGGTTGGACTGGATGGCCCATGAGGTCTCTTCCAACTCTTTGAGTCTATGATTCTATAAGTATGGAACCCTGCGAAACCGGCCGGTCAATGCGACTTAAGCCACATACAGTCATTGAATTCTTGACAGCAGAAGGTGTCACCTCAACATCTTTAAACTTACTCGCCCAACGACTCACAGTACTCACATCAACACAATCACCATAAACAGCTTGCATTCTCTGATGAATCTCCTTTGGGGTGACACCTTCTGCTGTCAAGAATTCAATGACTGCACGTTGCTTAAGAAGCATTGACCGATCGTCTGCGCAGGGTTCCATACTTTGCACTTTAACAACACAACCATTCAATGCTAAGGTTTCCCACCAAAAAGGAACTGTAGAGGAGAGTCTACTGAACAAGCCAGTACCTGCAGCATACCTGTACTGCCATCTGTTGAAGAGTTACGAAGGTGGAGGCATTACTTTTTATTCAACCCTCGTACTATCCCATTAATAACATGGGGAAAGGCAGCCCCGAACAGCTGGATTATATTTCAATTTGGAGTAAATGCGGTAGTGCTATTACATGTTTGCCAAGCTGTAAGAGTACCTCAATGAATCTGAATTTGCTTAAATCACTTTGAACTGGAATGCCACATAGGCATCCCTGTATGATGTTGGTTTACTTTTAAGTAAATCTACACAGGAACTACATTTATTTTTGTTAAAATCTAAACTCTTAAACAGATGTTTCCATGATCTTATCACCTCCCAGCTAGATATTTTCTAATTTCCTTCACTGAATCATAGAATCATAGAATCAAAGAGTTGGAAGAGACCTCATGGGCCATCCAGTCCAACCCCATTCTACCAAGAAGCAGGAATATTGCATTCAAATCACGCCTGACAGATGGCCATCCAGCCTCTGTTTAAAAGCTTCCAAAGAAGGAGCCTCCACCACACTCCGGGGCAGAGAATTCCACTGCTGAACGGCTCTCACAGTCAGGAAGTTCTTCATCATGTTCAGATGGAATCTCTTCTCTTGTAGCATCCTAGTTTGCAAGGAAGCAGAAAACAAGCTTGCTCCCTCCTCCCTGTGGCTTCCTCTCACATATTTATACATGGCTATCATATCTCCTCTCAGCCTACTCTTCTTCAGGCTAAACATGCCCAGCTCCTTAAGCCGCTCCTCATAGGGCTTGTTCTCCAGACCCTTGATCATTTTAGTCGCCCTCCTCTGGACACATTCCAGCTTGTCAAGATCTCTCTTGAATTGTGGTGCCCAGAATTGGACACAATATTCCAGGTGTGGTCTAACCAAAGCGGAATAGAGGGGTAGCATGACTTCCCTAGATCTAGACACTATGCTCCTATTGATGCAGGCCAAAATCCCATTGGCTTTTTTGCCACCACATCACATTGTTGACTCATGTTTAACTTGTTGTCCACGAGGACTCCAAGATCTTTTTCACACGTACTGCTCTCGAGCCAGGCATTGTCCCCCATTTTGTATCTTTGCATGATACATGAGCAAGACTTTATTCAATAACACACATTTCTACAGATGAGGCCGCAATGGGTTAAATCCTTGTGCCGGCTGAACAGCTGACCTGAAGGCTGATCCACAAGATGGGGGTGAGCTTCCATCTGTCAGCTCCAGCTTCCCATGTGGGGACATGAGAGAAGCCACCCACAGGATGGTAACACATCCGGCATCCCCCTGGACAACGTCTCTGCAGACGGTCGATTCTCTCACACTAGAAGTGGCTTGCAATTTCTCAAGTCACTTCTGACATAATAAAAAAATTCTACAGATAGAAACTTCTTTTGTGTCTAATGGTGGCATCATGTGGATAGGGAAGCTGCTTTCACTTTGGGGTGCCAAATGGTATCCTAGAAGTGACTGTCAGCAGGGGTTACTTGCTAGTGGGTTGCGTGATAAGCAATGCCTCCTGAAATTCCTTCTGTGCAACCTTTAAAAGTTACAGGGGCCCTCTTCAGTTTTTCAATCTGGTGACCTTAGGTTCACATACAGACCTTTGAAAAAGAAAGTTTCCCCTCTGATGTGGGCCACAGCGTCAACACTGGAGACACAGCGATCGGGGAATTCTCTGCCTGACCTGCAACAAAGAAACAAAGTAATGTTATATATATATATTTAATGCAGGAAATATTGGACTCTGTTCTCCTGTCATGTTCCACATCACTGCCATGGGGTACCAGGAACTTTCTGATGAAGCAGGTGCTTACAAAAGCATCATATGGATATGTATACATCATATTCAATCATAATAATTATTAGAACATAATAAAAAGATAGGAAGTGGCTCTCAGGGTTAACCAGAAGTTATCTTCAACAACAATAAGATGATCCCTCTGATCTTCCAGAGAGGCCCTTCTCCTGCTCCTGCCTCCATTGCAAGTGCGACTTGTGGGGATGAGGGAGAGGGCCTTCTCTGTGGTGGCCCCTCGGCTCGCACCCCAGAGAAATTAGGCAAGCCCCCACCCTGGCAGTCTTTAGGAAGAACTTGAAAACTTGAGTATTCCTGTGTGCCTTAAAGGAATGATGAACTGAACTATAACCCCTGACCTGACAAAACCTTGTAAAAAATGCCCTATTTTCTACCTACTAGTGCAATTAACTTTCATCCCTCTGATCCCCTGTCCAAATACAATACATTGCCTTCTCACCTAGTGTTTTAAACTTTTTAATCCTTGTTACCGTCTCTACCCATTGTGATTTATTTTCTGCTTTGAAATTATTGTGATTTTACATTGCTTGATGTGCTTATTTATATTTTTTCTTGTATTTTTTTTAATTTTTATATTTTACTGTCATTGTATGTTGTTTATTTGCATTGCTGTATTGTTGGGCTTGGCCTCATGTAAGCCGCCCCGAGTCCCCTTGGGGAGATGGTGGCAGGGTATAAATAAATATTATTATTATTATTATTGCTGTTGTTGTTGTTGTTGTTGTTATTATTATTATTATTATTATTATTATTATTATTATTATTATTATTATTATGGTCCAAAGACCCTTATTGCACCATAGGTATACAAGGTGTGCAGGTTAATGAGATTAACAACATCCAGTTGATTAAACACACAAATAGGTAAAACTTACAACAGTTAAAGCTGCTTAAAAGCTGCCTATGCAATGCTTTGTTGTGCGAGCTATCAGCTCTGTTTTGGAGTGCGGTTTTCTTGTACTGATTCTTTGTCTGCTGTGCTTTGAGAAGTTTCCGATTACTGACCTCAATTAAAGCAGGTTCTTGGCTTTGCTTGACATATTCTGCCAGGGCGTGTTTTTCTTCTTCAACTGCTTGTTTTACTTGTAAAAGTCCTCTGTCACCAGACCTTCTAGGCAGATAGAGCCTTCTTCTTCTTCTTCTTCTTATTATTATTATTATTATTATTATTATTATTATTATTATTATTATATAAGGAAACTACAACATAGACAACCTTTTACTTCTCCCCATCAAATACAAAAGAAATGTTTCTAACCTGAGGGCAGGAAAATCATGAGGCAGAGAGAGAAGATCCGGGAGCAGCGAAGTGACCTCTGGTTTCTCCGTGGAATGAAGAATTCTGCTCCCTGATATTTATGTGCATTGAAAAAAAGAAGGGAGAGAGCATATTGGTGAATGCATTGTGGGGAAGGAACATAATTATCATAATAGCCTTCATTGAGCCAGGAAAATGTAAAGATTGTGCCTGTGCAAATGGAGGTTTATGTGAATCACAGCATGATGCCTTGCAAAAAATTTCATTGCTGCTTGGCACAGAACGACCGACGGAGATATGTCTCCCCTTCTATGCTGTAGGTAAGTAACTGTTTGAAATTAGGAGGCCAGTAAAGGCAAGTAAAGGCCTGTGATTCTCTAGAACTGCTTGAGTGGTGTCAGAGATGTCAATGAGATCCTTTTTAATGAGACTCGGCGAAGCTAAGCCACCCCATCGCTATACATACCATAAAGATTCTGGATCTCCATACAGTCATCCGCATGCAGCTGGTACTGCAGTGGGTCTCCCACTGGGCCTTGGTAATAAGGGCGCATGATAGAGTGCTTGGAAGGGGAATGTGTCAGGCCAAGGCTATGGCCAAACTCATGGACAGCCACTGCGAAAAGGTCAGTTCCAAAGTCATCTGTCAAACGACGAAAGAAAGGTTCATCAAGTGCTGGGTACAATCACTCGGGGAAAGGGGTGACACAAGACTCCAGGTGGATCAGTCACCGAATCAAAAGGATAAGATGTCATCTACTCTGATCACTTTTCCCCAGGCATCTCTATAGCTAACCTATCTATTTGATCCAAAGTAGGAACAATACTCAAATTACATTGAGTGCAGAAAGGAATCTGCCAAATAATGACTCCTAATGGCCAAACAAGAAAGATGCATTCACACTACAGAAACAATACAGACTGGCATTACTTTAATTGCTATGGCCTAATGTTATGGGCTTCTAGGAATAATAGAATTGGAAGAGACCTCATGGGCCATCCAATCCAACCCTCTGTCAAGAAGCAGGAAAATTGCATTAAAAGCAGACTCAACAGATGGCCAGCCAGCCTCTGCTTAAAAGCCTCCAAAGAAGGAGCTTCCACCACACTCCGGGGCAGAGAGTTCCACTGCTGAACAGCTCTCACAGTCAGGCAGTTCTTCCTAATGTTCAGATGGATTCTCCTTTTTTGTAGTTTGAAGCCATTGTTCCACATCCTAGTGTCCAGGGCAGCTGAAAACAAGCTTACTCCCTCCTCCCTGTGGCTTCCTCTCACATATTTATACATGGCTATCATGTCTCCTCTTAGCCTTCTCTTCTTCAGGCTAAACATGCCCAGCTCTTTAAGCTGCTCCTCATAGGGTTTGTTCTCCAGACCCTTGGTCATTTTAGTCGCCCTCCTCTGGACACATTCCAGCTTGTCAATATCTCTCTTCAATTGTGGTGCCCAGAATTGGACACAATATTCCAGGTGTAAAGTTGTAGTTTATTTATTTATTATTCGAACTTATATGCCGCCACTCCCGTGGGGCTTGGAGCGGCTTAAAAGAATGGCTAAAATCTAACACAATTTAAAAACAATTTAAAACAATTTAAAAACAGCAATATTAAAAATCAAAAGCCTGTCCAAACAGGAATGTCTTACATGCCCTGCGGAAAGCTGATAAGTCCCGCAAGGCACGAACTTCAGGTAGCAGAGTATTCCAGAGTGATGGTGCCACTGCTGTGAAGGCTCTGCGTCTGGTTGCTGTTAGATGCAAGGTCTTGACGCTGGGAATTTCCAGTAGATCTTGGTTCTCAGAACGGAGGGATCTCTGGGGTTGGTAGGGGGTAAGGCGGTCCCTCAGGTACATTGGCCCCAGACCATGCAAGGCCTTAAAGGTGAGTACCATCACTTTGAAAGTGATCCGGTGCTCAATTGGTAACCAATGCAGCTGTAGCAAGATTTGGTGAGGCATCTGTACTTTTTAGCAGAGAGGGCTAAATCTTGTAAACCTACAAATCTCATGCTTCCATAGTATTGAACCATGTCCATTAAAGTGGTGCCAAACAGTGTAGATCAGGCATGGGCGAACTCTGGCCCTCCAGCTGTTTTGGACTTCAACTCCCACCATTCCCAACTGTCTTCGGCCCTTTTCCTTTTCATGAGGCAGTTGGGAATTGTGGGAGTTGAGCTCCAAAGTTTGCCCATGCCTGGTTTAGATATGCTTTAAGACATGCCAAAGGCCCTCCTGCAACAATTCCCATTTGTTCAACCATTACTTAAACCCTGAATCTCTGAGTTAGCCCCCATCGTTTTGCTGCCTGAAGTGCATGACAATATGACACAATTTCCCATTCCCTTTACTTGACTGGAATGTCCTCTTCTGAGTCTGAGGCCATGGTTAGGAGCTTGGTATCAACTGTTCTGCTCTCCAATAAGTAGAACTAAGAACTGCCTTTTTGATACTAAGCATTTGCCAGTTGAGGCAATTGCTTCAGTGCCAATTGATAGGCTTCCCTAGTCCTTGAGCATGAAACAAGCTGCATTCTGAAAAAAGGAAGGCTACATAGCACCCTTTCAGGATACAGGGACCGGCTTGGCACAGCAGGTTAATCACCAGCTGCAGCTGCAGTAAATTTTGCCAACCAACAGTTCAAAGCCAGGTCAGAGTGAGCTCCTGACCTTCAGCCCAGCTCCCTGCCCACCTAGCGGATCGAATACAGCAATGTGAGCAGATAAATAGGAACCACATTACAATGGGGAGGTATTTTAGGCACAGAGTTTCAATAAAAAAGAAGGAAAAGCTTACAAACAAAGAAAGCTCTTTGGGAAGGAGATAGAGCAACAGCACCCCCTGTGGTGGAACTGAGCACAGCCTCCAAAGATAACAAAACAATGGGGAAAGCCTATATAATACCTCTATCTGTTGTCTGTCTTGTCATTGTATAATCAGCATTGAATGTTTGCCATATATTATTTCCAATTTTAACTCTACATTTGGCCTTCCCACTGTTTTTAATTGTGTGTTGTCTTATTGATAATGTTGTCTTTTTATGGTCTGTGTTTTTAATTGCTTGTATTGTTGTTATTATTGCTTGTATTGTTGTGTTTTGGGCTCGGCCTCGTGTAAGCCGCACCGAGTCCCATGGGGAGATGCTAGCGGGGTACAAATAAAGTGTTTTATTATTATTATTATTATTATTATTATTATTATTATTATTATTTACATGTTCTGTGATCCGCCTGAGTCCCCTTCGGGGTGAGAAGGGTGGAATATAAATACTGTAAATAATAAATACAGACATACATACAGGCATCCCTCTTGTGGTTGTGGTGTTGTCGTGGTTTCAGCAATTTCTCTTCCTTAGATTAACATAGTCCTTAACCCATGGCTTCGCAAGAGTTAATGCAGCTGGCTGGAAGTCAGCTGCATTAAGATCACTACTGACCAAAAGGTCATGAGTTTGAAGCCAGCCTGGGTCAGAGTGAGCTTCTGACCAATTTGTGTAACTTGCTGTCGACCTTTGCAGCCCGAAAGACAGTTGCATCTGTCAAGTAGGAAATTTAGGTACCACGTATGCGGGGAGGCTAATTTAACTAATTTATGATGCCATAAAAATCTCCAGCAAGCATGCAAAGAATAAGGAAGTACTTAATCAATGTCACAAATGGACGGTGAAGCAACAACTCCTTTGATGGCCAGAATACCCTAATCAATTATTATTATTTATTATTTACAGTATTTGTATACCGCTTTTCTCACCCCGAGGGGGACTCAAAGCAGTTTACACATAAGTAATGGCAAAATTCAATGTCAGTACAAACAATTACAATTATATACTACAATTAGACATAAATCAAGTTAAAAACAGTGCATTCACAAGCAATAAAACAATCATTAAAACAATAAAACTGTCTCATCCGTCGAATCACCATTCCAGTCATTGTCTTTCTGAAATGCTGCATACATTTACTTCTACTGCATTCAAAAAGCTCGAATGTTAAGCAGTCTGTCTATATAAGTTGTGTGTCTATGGCACTGAATGTTTACCATGTATATGTATATTGTAATCCACCCTGAGTCCCCTGCGGGGTGAGAAGGGCGGAATATAAATACGATAAATAAATAAATAAATAAACTCACCTGGTGACCGAAAGGTCCATTCTTCACTGCTGTCAAAGTGGACATTGCCAGCCCTCTGGGGATCTCCTGGAAAGAAGGCATGGGCCACCATCCCACCCGGACCATCAAAGGGGTAACCGTCTTGATGGTCCAGTCGGAGGAACTCCACAGAGATGTCCGCAGTGTGGCCACCCACCTCGTGGAAGTTCAAGGGTGTGGCTTCACTCCACACCTTCAGGGCATAATACATCAACGTCCGCATGGTTTCCCGGCTAAGATGGGATTCCCGTGGGTAGGTCTTCACCCTGAAGAAGAAATGGTTTAGAAGAGAAAGCAACAGGTCTCTGCCTTGTTTGGTATGAAAGAGACGTTAGAATGAGGATTTAGCAATACACAAGTCCTATCTGGGTAAGATTTTTTAAATGTCTCTATATGGGTTGTGTGAGTTTTCCGGGCTGTACATCCATGTTCCAGAAGCATTCTCTCCTGACATTTCACCCACAACTATGGCCGGCATCCTCAGAGCTTCTGAGGTTTGTTGGAAACTAGGAAAATCTATATAAATAAAATGTAAATGTATTGTCGAAGGCTTTCATGGCTGGAATCACTAGGTTCTTGTGGGTTTTTTCGGGCTATAGGGCCATGTTCTAGAGGCATTTCTCCTGACGTTTCGCCTGCATCTATGGCAAGCATCCTCAGAGGTGATGCCTCTGAGGATGCTTGCCATAGATGCAGGCGAAACATCAGGAGAAATGCCTCTAGAACATGGCCCTATAGCCCGAAAAAACCCCACAAGAACCTAAAAATGTAAATGTTCGTTTGTGGGATTAACATAACTCAGAAACCACTAGACGAATTAACACGAAATGTTGACACAATACACCTAACAGTCCAATGAGAGTTCATCACTCCTAAAAATACAAGAAAAACAAAACAAAACCCACAAACACCACTCATATACATATACACATGCACACATACATACACATACACATATATATACCCAAGCATACACAAATATACACATACATACATCTATATACACACACATATACATATACACATGCACACACAAATATACACATGCACACATACATGTACACATACATACACACAGATAAACACATATATGTATATAGACAGGCACACACACATATACACATCTACACACACACGTATGCACACACATATACATATATACACACACACACACACTAGCTGTCCCCTGCCATGCGTTGCTGTGGCCCAGTCTGTTTTGCATGTGTATGTATTTGTGTATATGTGTCTTTGTGTATATATGTGTGGTTTTGCGCATGTGTTGTAATGCATTTTTTATTTTTTTGGCTTTTCCAGTCCCTTCCGCTTTGTTTTCCAGTGTTTTTATGAGTGATGGCCACTTGTTGGCCTGATAGGTGTCTTGTGTCCAAATTTGGTGCCAATTCGTCCAGTGGTTTTTGAGTTATTATAATCCCACAAACAAACATTACATTTTTATTTATATAGATATATACGCAAACACACATATATACACAGATACACAAATATATAAACACATATAAACACACATATATATACACACAAAACATATATACAGACTGGGCCACAACAATGCATGGCAGGGGACAGCTAGTAGGGTTTATATATCTGTGGATTGTTCAAAGTGGGAGAATTGGTGCCAATTGCTACATTCACACCTACCTCAAACAGACAAAAGTTCTCTCTCCTACCCTGGTCATTCCACACATATATAAACCCCATTTTCATAGTTTCCCACAGACCTCACAACCTCTGAGGATGCCTGCCATAGATGCAGGCAAAACGTCAGGAGAGAATGCTTCTGGAACATGACCATACATTCTGGAAAACTCACAACAACCCAGTGATTCTGGCTACAAAAGCCTTTGACAATACAACCCCTATATGGTTTAGAATGAGGGGGAAATCATGCCGCACTGTTAGATTGCAATTCATGGCAGTCCTAGTCGAAGTAGAGGAATGCTGAAAGTTGCAGTCCTACACAGTTTGGAGTGCCATGTAATTCCCACTCAAGAGTCAGCATATCGCTTCCCACTGTGGCACACCACGTATCCAGAAATTAAATTGGGTGGAATGAAGCCATTCTGAAGTGCAAGCCATTTAAAAGCTTACTAAATGTGATAGTCTTTAATACAGTGGGGTCTGTTTTCACGTCCAAACAGACGGCAAGCCAGCAAGACACTTAGGACTGGAATCAATTGACAAATCTGGCTGCCTTTTCCAGGGAATGAACATTTTCTCCCTCCATGGAGCCTAGTGGGCTGTAATGGATTGTGTCATTATGGAAAGTGATTGCCTGCTATTTGGTTATGCAGTTTGTTAGAGTTTAGTGGTCCATCAACCGCTGAGCAAAATGTTTCATGCACCAGTGATTGTTAACTTATGGTACTTTAGCATTCCCGGACCAGTTGGAATTCATCAACAAATCTGACTGAGTTTTGCAGGTTTTGAACAATTTGGCTGCATAATATACGCTGTTTCCAGAAACATCCCATTTTATTCTATTTTTACAGACCTTGGTTTATTGTGTACCATAAATACGCCTCAGGTTAACAAAATTTAATCAGCTAATTCAATTTTGTCTCCCACTTGAACAGGGACAAGAGTAATGTATCACCCTTTGGCAAGATCCTGTATCAGGCAACTGGAGCGGCACCCGACTGGAGAGAAGGGGTTTGGATGGGACATAAGAGGCTGGGAGAGACCCACTAGTACACAAGGAAACCATATGCATACATAACACATAGTTACATATATGTGTGATTCTAACACAGTGGATCTCAACCTTCCTAATGCCGTGACCCCTTAATACAGTTGTGCCGTGACCCCTAATGTTGTGCCGTGACCCCTAATGCCGTGACCCCTTAATACCCCTCATGTTGTGGTGACCAACAACCATAACATTATTTTTGCTACTACTTCATAACTGTCATTTTGCTACGGTTATGAATCCTAATGTAAATATCTGATATGCAGGATGCATTTTCATCCACTGGACCAAATTTGGCACAAATATCCAATATGCCCAAATATGCCACCCTCCTCCTTTCTTAAAATAATTGTGGGCTTGGGCGAGGGGTTAATTTTGTCATTTGGGAGTTGTGGTTGCTGGGATTTATAGTTCACCTACAATCAAAGAGCATTCTGAAATCCACCAATGATGGAATTGAACCAAACTTGGCACACATAACTCCTATGACCAACAGAAAATACTGGAAGGGTTTGGTAGGCATTGACCTTGAGTTTTGGAGTTGTAATTCACCTACATCAAGAGCACTGTGGACTCAAGAAATGATGGATCTGGATCAAACTTGGCATGAATACTCTATGTCCAAATGTGAACACTGGTGGAGTTTGGGGAAAATAGACCTTGACATTTGGGAGTTGTAGTTGCTGGGATTTATAGTTCATCTACAATCAAAGAGCATTCTAAACCCCATCAGCAACAGAATTGGGCCAAACATCCCACATAGAACCCCCATGACCAACAGAAAAAACTGTTTTCAGATGGTCTTTGGTGACCCCTGTTGACACCCCCTCATGACCCCCTCAGGGGTTCCGACCCCCAGGTTGAGAAATGCTGCTAACAGGACCCAAGCCTCTCATGATAGGGGAAAGATTTGGTTGTACTTCCATATACACTTTTTGAACATTTCCACTAATTTCTCCTTGGGGGCGCAGTGGGTTAAACTGCTGAGCTGCTGATCTTGCTGACTGAAAGGTTGGCGGTTCAAATCTGGGGAGCAGGATGAGCTCCAACTTCTGCCAACCTAGCAATTTGAAAACATGCAAATGTGAGTAGATAATGGGTTGTTGTAGGTTTTTTCGGGCTATATGGCCATGTTCTAGGCATTCTCTCCTGATGTTTCGCCTGCATCTATGGCAAGGATCTTCAGAGGTAGTGAGGTCTGTTGAAACTAGGAAAATTGGGTTTTTATGTCTGTGGATTGACCAGGGTGGGACCTGTTGGAGCTAGGTGTGAATAGCAGACAAGAGTTCTTTGTCCCAAACTGGTCATTCCACAGACATATAAACCCAATTTTCCTAGTTTCAACAGACCTCACTACCTCTGAGGATGCTTGCCATAGATGCAAGTGAAACGTCAGGAGAGAATGCCTCTAGAACATGGCCATATAGCCTGAAAAAACCTACAACAACCTAGTGTTTCCAGCCATGAAAGCCTTCAACAATACATTGAGTAGATAATGTTACAGTAAGTTGTAGCAGGACCAAGTGTGTGTGTGTTGAAGAAAAACCTTATGATGGTAATTATTATGTGCAGCTGGTAATGTAGGTCAACCAGCAAGCACGGGCCACACCCGATGGGGTATAACTGTATGGGTTTTAAGAATACAGTTATGGAGAGCTTTTTCTCTGAGGAGGTCTATGCTCAAAGGCTCTGCTCTGGGGAGCAGGTTGGAGAGAAGCTGTTATGCTGCTCTAAAGGAGGTTATGGTGAAATAGCTGTTTACTCAAGGTTTATGTTTTGCTCTCTCACTTGACTTAAGATGAAGATGCCTTATTTTATGTTACTTACAAAGACTATGTAAGTTTCTTGCACTGTTTGTTTTTTGTATGCAACATTGCAAGTTTGTGTTTCATCTCTGCTATTAAGAGTAAAGATTTTTCTGTTCATTTTTCCTCTTGTCTGTGAGTCTTGTGCATTTGGGCTTGGGACTTTGGGTAGAATCTGCTTGCTGCACAACAGGTACTGCTCCGGTGAGAAGGTAACGGCGCTCCATGCAGTCATGCTGGCCACATGACCTAGAAGGTGTCTATGGACAACGCCGGTTCTTCAGCTTAGAAATGGAGAGGCGAACCAACCCCCAGAGTTGGAAGCCACTAGTCTTAATATTAAGAGGAAACCTTTACTTTTTTACCTTTTACCTTTTACTTATTTCTGCAAAGAATTCCAAAACACACAAGATTTGTTTGTCATCTGCATTCTCTTTCTCTCCGACTCTCCTTCTGTGCAAAGGCACACTAGCATTTGTACTGCCGTGGCTCGGCATTTTGGAGCCCTTATTAATTTTAATACATGAGAGCAAGAGTTTGGACAAAGCTGGATTAAAACTCAGCAAGATGGATTGGTTTGTTTGGCCAATCCCTGGTTAATCTTTTGCTCTGCATGTGCCTGAGTGACATACGGGTGTTACGCGCTTGTTATACATCACACAACAATGTTCCTGAAATCTTCGTGCAGGATTCCTCCTGATTCAAGTCCCCCCCCCCCCTTTGTTTTATAATATGACATCCAATTCATTAACTTATTAAATATTCTGGTTTCATAAAGAGCATTCCCAAAAATAATCAGGGAATCACTCCAACTGAATTGCTTCGCTTCTATTTGTATAACAGGAGCTCCAAACATGGTCAGCCTTATAGAGAGAATTGAGTAGTTAGAGAGAATGAAGCAGGTGAAACAGCTGGTTTGCGGTGTCATAAAAGTGCAGAATATAGAATCATAGAATCAAAGAGTTGGAAGAGACCTCATGGGCCATCCAGTCCAACCCCATGCCAAGAAGCAGGAATATTGCATTCAATATGACAGATGGCCATCCAGCCTCTGCTTAAAAGCTTCCAAAGAAGGAGCCTCCACCACACTCTGGGGCAGAGAGTTCCACTGCTGAACGGCTCTCACAGTCAGGAAGTTCTTCCTAATGTTCAGATGGAATCTCCTCTCTTGTACTTTGAAGCCATTGTTCCGTGTCCTAGTCTCCAAGGAAGCAGAAAACAAGCTTGCTCCCTCCTCCCTGTGGCTTCCTCTCACATATTTATACATGACTATCATATCCCCTCTCAGCCTTCTCTTCTTCAGGCTAAACAATAATTAATTGTTTTTTGGTGTTGTATTTTTTTTCTGGCAAAAGATAGAAAGAGGTGTTGGTGGGATTTTCTGCTGGTATTAGACACCATGGACTTTGACAAAGATAAGCAGGAGATCAATTTGCTACTTCATTTCTACTTTCAAAAGTTCCTAAGTTATGTTACACAATTTGGAAAGGACTGTGGATTGAACTACATATATTATGATAAATAAATGCTTATTTATGTATGTATGTATGTATGTATGTATGTATTTATTTATTTACAGTGTTTATATACCACTTTTCTCACTCCTAGGAGCATGATTGACAGGTATGAAAAATCTAACCCAAAATATATGCTTGACAAGTGTCTAGCACAGTGGTTCTCAACCTGTAGGTCCCCAGATGTTTTGGCCTTCAACTCCCAGAAATCTCAACAGCTGATACATTGGCTGGGATTTCTGGGAGTTGTAGAACAAAACACCTGGGGACCCACAGGTTGAGAACTACTGGTCTAGCACATAATGTATTTGCATATAGATCATGATTGGCAGAGACATTGGGAGGGCGATGTATTGCTTAGAATGGGACAACACAAGTGAACTTCTGGAAAGATCTCTAGGGCAGTGTTTCTCAACCTGGAGGTCAGGACCCTTGGGGGGGGGGTCACAAGGGGGTGTCAGAGATGTTGCCAAAGACCTTCAGAAAATTAAGTATTTTCTGTTGGTCATGAGGGTTCTGTGGGGGAAATTTGGCCCAATTCTATTGTTGGTGGGATTCAAGAGACTCTTTGATTGTAGGTGAACTATAAATCCCAGCAACTACAACTCTCAAATGTCAAGGCCTATTTTCTCCAAACTCTACCAGTGTTCACATTTGGGCATATTGAGTATTTGTGCCAAATTTGGTAAATATCTACCATTGTTTGGGTCCACAGTGCTTTCTGGATGTAGGTGAACTACAGCTCCAAAACTCAAGGTCAATGCCCATCAAACCTTTCCAGTATTTTCTGTTGGTTATAGGAGTTCTGTGTGCCAAGTTTGATTCAATTCCATTCAGAGGCGGTCCTAGGTAATTTTAAACGATAAGCAAACAGTATTTGCCCCCTCCCCCCCAACCAATCATTGGTTCGTCATGGGAGTTCTGTGTGCCATATTTGGTTCAATTCCATCATTGGTGGAGTTCAGAATGCTCTTTGATTTTAGGTGAACTATACATCCCAGTAACTACAACTCACATGTGTCAAGGTCTATTTTCCCCCAAGAGCGCCTCAAGAGCACCCCTGGGCAAAATCCACTATACTGCGAATGCTTACTTTGCGTAATTGGTTGAGTTGCCCCTGGTTCCATTGTTGGTGGAGTTCAGAATGCTCTTTGATTGTAGGTGAACTAGAAATCCCAGCAACTACAACTCCCGAAAGACAAAATCAACCCCCCTCCCCAATTCCACTAGTACATATTGGGTATTTATGCAAAATTTGGTCTAGTGAATGAAAATACACCCTGCATGTCAGATATTTATATAACATTTCATTACAGCAGCAAAATTACAGTAATGAAGTAGTATATGTGGTATGGGTAAAGGTAACGGTTGTCCCCTGACATTAAGTCCAGTCATGTCCAACTCTCCATTTCTAAGCCGAAGAGCCAGCGTTGTCCATAGACACCTCCAAGGTCATGTGGCCGGCATGACTGCATGGAGCGCTGTTATGTAGTATACTATGTAGTATATGAAGTATAATGTTATGGTTGGGTGTCACCACAAGATCAGGAACCGTATTAAGGGATCGTGGAATTAGGAAGGTTGGGAAACACTGACCTAGAGCATTTCAAGGTTAGCTCACCTATTTTTTGTGCATTTTGTTTTTCCCTGTTGAAATTCATTGTATTAATTTGGGCCCAACTCTCTAATTTGTTAAGCTCATTTTGGATTCTGGGGCACTAAGTATCTCTCTGATCCAAGAAAATATATTGCGTTTAGCCAGGCAATGGATCAAGCCATATATGGAAATGCACCATCCTTCCACATTACAAGTAGAGACAAAATTCTGTCCCAAAACTAGACACCGTGTATCTTCCCAAGGTGCCTTTATGCACATACTTACCTCCAGGAGATGTTCCTCTTAGTCCAAACAGAGCCTGCACTCCTTCTGCTGCGACTCTTCTTTCTTTTCTGCCTTTTCCTCCTTCCTTTTTCTCTCAAAGGAAGTTTTTCTGGGAAGGGGGTGATTATATCGGGCAGTGAACAGCGAGGCATCCGGATCAGAGTCAGTGTGGCATCATCTGCTTGTAATGAAGGGAAAATGAATAAAAACATCAACGATGAAAAAGAAAGCAAACAGTAAAACAGCCTGACAGCAAAAATTAAATCAGTCCAGATTGTCTTGCATTTTGGAACCCTTTCAAGCTATACAAGTATAGCACTTTAACAACCATTATTACATCCTGTGGCATTCTGGGATGCATAGTTTGGTTGGACACTAGCGTTCTATCTATATAAATAAAAATGTAATGTTCGTTTGTGGGATTAACAGAACTCAAAAACCACTGGACGAATTGACATCAAATTTAGACACAAGACAGCTAACAACCCAATATAGGTCCTTCACTCAAAAAATATGATTTTGTCATTTGGGAGTTGTAGTTGCTGGGATTTATAGTTCACCTACAATCAAAGAGCATTCTGAACCGTACCAACGATGGAATTTAACCAAATTGGCACACAGTTCTCCCATGACCAACAGAAAATACTGGAAGGGTTTGGCGGGCAGTGTCCTTTCGTTTTGGAGTTGTAGGTCACCTCCATCCAGAGAGCACTGTGGACTCAAACAATGATGGCTCTGGACCAAACTCTACACGAATACTCAGTATGCCCAAATGTTGACACTGGTGGAGTTTGGGGAAAACAGAATCTTGGCATTTGGGAGTTGTAGATGCTGGGATTTATAGTTCACCTACAATCACAGAGCATTCTGAACCCCACCAATGATAGAATTGGGCCAAAACTCCCACACAGAACCCCCATGTGGGCCATGGCAACGCGTGGCAGGGGACATCTGGTGACTAAATAAAATGTTAAATTGCAAATCCCAGGATTCTACAAGATGGAAGTGTATTAGTTAAATTTATCTTCAAAGGCTTTCATGGCCGGAATCACTGGGTTGTTGTGTGTTGTCTGTTTGAGGTAGGTAGCCAGATTTTGTTTATTTCATTGGTTTCCTCCTTTCTGTTGAAATTGTCCACGTGCTTGTAGATTTCAGTGGCTTCTCTGTGTAATCTGTCATGGTAGTTGTTAGAATAGTCCAGCATTTCTTCGGAATGCGCACAGACGACATTGTCATCAGCATACTGGAATTCTATAACAGATGTTGTTGTAACCTTGGTTTTGGCTTTCAGTCTGCTGAGGTTGAATAGCTTGCCATCTGTCCGATAGATGATTTCCACTCCGGTGGGAAGCTTCCCATCAACAAGGTGAAGTATCATAGCGATGAAGATGGAGAATAGAGTTGGGGCAATAACACATTCCTGTTTGACACCGGATTCCACTTTAAATGGGTCACTTTGGGAGCCATTGCTGTCCAAGACTGTTGCCATCATGTCATCATGGAGGAGCCGCAGGATGTTCACAAATTTGTTAGGGCACCTGATTTTTGGAGGATGGTCCAGAGAGCGCTGCGATTCACTGTGTCGAATGCCTTTGCAAAGTCGATGAATGCCATGTACAGAGGTTGATTTTGTTCTCTGCATTTTTCTTGGAGCTGTCATGCAGTGAAGATCATGTCCACGGTTCCTCTGGAGGGGCGGAAGCCATTCTGGGATTCTGGGAGGGTGTCTTCTGAGAGGGGCAGAAGGCGGTTTGCAAGGATTCTTGCGAGGATTTTCCCAGTGGAGGTTAGAAGGGAGATACCTCGATAGTTTCCGCAGATTGTTCTTTCCCCTTTTTTGAAGAGGGTGATGATGGTGGCGTCCTTAAAATCTGCTGGGATTTTCTCGGTCACCCACACTTTTTCTATGAGCTGGTGGAGTTGGTGTGTCAGCTCAGGTCCTCCCTCTTTAAAGATTTCAGCAGGGATCCCATCCGGTCCGCTGGCTTTGTTATTTTTTTGTTGGTTGATGGCATTGCTGACTTCTTCCAAACTAGGCAGTGCTGCAAGCTCATCCCTGGTTTGTTGTTGCAGGATTTGTGAGAGAACCTCTTCGGCCCCATTGGATCTGCGGTTCAGGAGGCTTTGGTAGTGTTCTTTCCAACGTAGTGCGATTGATTTTTGGTCCTTCAGGAGTTTGGTTCCATCTGATGAGCGGAGAGGCTGTATGCCATGGTTTCTTGGTCCATAGATGACCTTTGTGGCTTTGAAAAATCCCTGAGCCTTCCAAAGACTTCCCTATTAGAATCCGACATTCTGGCAGTGGACATTGCTGTGACTATTGGTCAGAAAGCACTGACTGTCAGATGTCCTTTGACATTAATGCAAACTTTCCAACTCCATCTAGAGATCCCTAGACTGCAAAATATACACTATTTCACTGAACTGTTCAGTTGAATTCTTTAGATGGTTACTCTACCTGGGATCCCAGTCTCTGCAATGCCTGCAAAATGTTGCATGACCCGGATGGCACTTGTCACTGCCTCCCATGTTTGCAGCTGGCCTGTGATTGGGTCAGATGGAGGAAGGTATCCATACTGCATCAGCCACTCCTAGGGAGAGATGACAGGTAAAGAACACGTGTCAATTTTGCTATACCAGTGTTTCTCAACCTTCCTAATGCTGAGATCCCTTATTACAGTTCCTCATGTAGTGCTGACACCCAACCATAAAATTATTTTCTTTGCTACTTCATAACTGTAATTCTGCTTCTGTTATGAATCGTCATGTAAATATCTGATATGCAGGATGTATTTTCATTCATTGAACCAAATTTTGCACAAATACCTGATACACCCAAATTTGAGTATTGGTGGGGTTGTTAGGTAGGAATTGATTTTGTCATTTGGGAGTTGTAGTTGCTGGGATTTATAGTTCACCTAAAATCAAAGAGCATTTTGAACTCCACCAATGATGGAATGGAACCAAACTTGGCACACAGAACTCCCATGACCAACAGAAAATACTGGCATTGACCTTGAGCTTTGGAGTTGTAGTTCACCTACTTCTAAAGAGCACTGTGGACTCAAACAATGATGGATCTGGACCAAACTTGGTATGAATACTCAATATGCCTAAATGTAAACACTGGTGGAAATAGACCTTGACATTTAGGAGTTGTGGTTGCTGGAATTTATAGTTCACCTAAAATCAAAGAGCGTTCTGAACTCCACCAATGATGGAATGGAACCAAACTTGGCACACAGAACTCCCAAGACCAACAGAAAATACTGGCATTGACCTTGAGCTTTGGAGTTGTAGTTCACCTACTTCTAAAGAACACTGTGGAATCAAACAATGATGGATCTTGACCAAACTAGGCACGAATGCTCAATATGCCTAAATGTAAACACTTGTGGAGTTTGGGGAAAACAGACCTTGACATTTAGGAGTTGTGGTTGCTGGGATTTATAGTTCACCTACAATCAAAGAGCATTCTCAACACCACCGATGACAGAATTGGACCAAACTTCCCACACAGAACTCCCATGACCAACAGAAAATACTGTGTTATGTGATGACCCCTCTGACACCACCTCGCGACCCCCTCAGGGGTCCCGATCCCCAGGTTGAGAAACACTGAGCTATAACTTTCCTTCCAGGAAGTTCAATTCTTCTGACCATTTTGCATTAGCAGGCCATTTCATGAGTCCAGCTCCAAGAAGGATATGCACTGAAGAATATGCAGATGGTTCTCTTTCAATCACTGCATTTTTGTGTGTGGGAGATGCATTTTCCCCATACAACCTCAAAGTCTTGCATCAAAACAACCCATTTATATTTCTGTTCACAGCAATTTCCGTAATATTTCAGCATGTAATACCTTATGGAAACAGTGCAAAATTCCTGCCTCTGGGTTATTCTCCCCAACAGGATTTCCCCAAGTCTTGGGAAAGCCATATTTCAGCTGGGATATGAATAATGGTAAGCATTGCTTCTATCGTTACTTACCACTATCTCCCCACTTTCATCTGTGGGAGTGGGCACAGGGTTGGCATTGGATGGCAAGGCCAGAAGCAACAGCAGTGAAAACAGAACCAAGTACACAGATGCAGCCAACGGCCTCTCTTCCCTGAACTCTGGTTGGTAGTGTAGCGTCATGGGATGCTTCAGGGGCAAAGAGGCTTTCCTAGTCTCCATCCAGGTGGCACGTGCGACGTTGGTTTGGTGCCTCCGCTCACTGGTTCTTTTCAGTCTGAGATAAAGATCCCCAAAGTAGCATTTGCAACTCAGCCAATGTTGCCTATTTATTTGAAACACCCTGCAGGCAGCTCCATTTCCAATCCAGGGATCAAAGCATGCTGTTGTTGTGTTCCTTGGGTTGGCTCTTGGGTGCAAAATCTCTAAGATTTTGCCAGGTGAAAGCATTGCCTCCCATGTCTGAACCTAAGTGAAGAAAATGGCAAACGCAGATTAATACTGATGTGTTGTCAAAGGCTTTCATGGCTGGAATCAATGGGTTGCTGAGTTTCCCAGGCTGTGTGGCCATGTTCCAGAAGCATTCCCTTCTGACATTTTGCCCACATCTATGGCAGGCATCCTCAGAGGTTGTGAGGTCTGTTGGAAACTAGGCAAATGAGGTTTGTGAAATGTCCGGGGTGGGAGAAAGAACTCTTTGTCTGTTGGAGGCAAGTGTGAATGTTGCAATTAATCACCTTGACTAGCATTTAATTGCACAGCATATTACTCAAGAACACAGAAATGCTGGACCACAGAGAAACCACTGAAATCCACAAGCATGTAGACAGTTTCAACAGAAAGGAGGAAACCATGAAAATGAACAAAATCTGTCTACCAGTATTAAAAAAAACTCTAAACTCAGGACACTACATAAAGAGGAACACTAAAAAAATCAGGAGAATTCCAGACAAGAATTAATCAGGGCCAGCTAACACCTCTCAACAAAGGACTCCCCAGGCAGCAACTAGCCAGGCTTTGAAGCTGCAAGGCCATTAAATGCTAATCAAGTTGGCCAATTACAACATTCCCATTTGCCTCCAACAGACAAGAGTTCTTTCTCCCACCCTGGACATTCCACAGATATATATAGGATTCCACCAGGCAGCAAGCAGCCAGGCTTTGAAGTTGCAAGGCCATTCAATGTCAATAAAGGTGGCCAATTGCAACGTTCACACTTGCCTCCAACAGTTTTTTCCCCACTCTGGACATTGCACACATATAAAAACTCCACTTGCCTAGTTTCCAACAGACCTCATAACCTTTGAGAATGCCTGCCATAGATGTGGGCAAAATGTCTGGAGAGAATGCTTCTGAAACATGGCCATACAGCTGGGAAAATGTACAACAACCCAGTGGGATAATAAGTAAATTAATCAAATCATAAAAGAGCCATGATTAAATATTTAAAAGGCTGTTACAAGGCAGAAAGCAGGCTTGTTTTCTGCTGCCCTGGAGACTAGGACTGAATGGAACCATGAGTTCAAATGACAGAAAAGGAGATTCCACCTGAACCTTAGGACAACTTTCTGACCATAAGAAGAATTGTTCAACAGTTGAACTCTCTGCCTCGGAGTGTCCAATTGAGGCTTTTAAACAGAGGCTGGATGGCCAACTGTTGGGGGTACTTTGTGCTTTTCCTGCATAGCAGGGGGTCAGACTGGATGGCCCTATGATTCTATGATTCATGATGGTTGGAAGGAGATTGTGGCAGGATGCAAAGTTTAGTTTGGAATGGGTTAGGGGAAGAAAGAAGAGTTTTACAAGGAAAGGAATCCAAGAGAAGAGAAAGCTGCTGAATCGCAAAGAAATTTACTTAAGAGTTGCCAGCCCAGTTCTTAGCGTATTATCCGTATCAAGGTTTCTGGCTGCAAACAATACTAATATAGGATAAAATGCCAGGAGTTCACTATAGCAAAACTCTCTGTGGATTTTTCTCTGCATTCCCTTCTGCCTATTAAATTATGTCTCAGCCAATGTTATTAATGATTGTACATTACTTTGAGGGATCAATGCCTTCATTTTTAGAAATGGAATCAACTCCACAGTCTCCCAAGACATTTTCCATTCTTCCTCCCACAAGTTACCGTCCTTCTTGCCTGCTACTGCCACCATCTGCACAATCCGCTAAACCAGTGGTTCTCTATCTTCCAACTACCACGACCCCTCAATACAGTTCCTCATGTTGTGGTGACCCCCAACTATAACATTATTTTCGTTGCTACTTCATAGCTGTAGTTTTGCTACTGTTGTGAATCATAATGTAAATATCTGATATGCAGGTTGTATATCACTGGACCAAATTTGGCACAAACACCCAATATACCAATATTTGAATACTGGTGGGGTTGTGGGTTTTGATATTTGGGAGTTGTAGTTTCTGGGAATTATAATTAACCTGCAATCAAAGAACATTCTGAACTCCACCAAAAATGGAATTGAACCAAACTTGACACACAGAACTCCCATAACCAAGAGAAAATACTGGAAGGTTTTGGTGGCTATTGACCTTGAGTTTTGGAGTTGTAGTTCACCTACATCCAGAGTTCACCGTGGACTCAAAAAATAATGGATTTGGATGAAACTTGGCATGCATAATAAATATGTCCAAATGTGAACACTGGTGGAGTTAGGGGAAAATAGATCTTGACATTTGGGAGTTGTAGTTGCTGGGATTCATAATTAAATCTGCAATCAAAGAACATTCTGAACTCCACCAACAATGGAATTGAACCAAACTTGGCACACAAAACTCCCATGACCAACAGAAAATACTGGAAAGGGTTTGGTGGACTTTGGCCTTGAGTTTTGGAGTTGTAGTTCACCTACATCCAGAGAGCACTGGACTCAAAAAATGATGGATTTGGACCAAACTTGGCATGGATAATCAATATGTCCAAATGTGAACACTGTTGGACTTTGGGGAAAATAGACCTTGAAATTTGGGAGATTTTGTTGCTGGGATTTATGGTTCACCTACAATCAAAGAGCATTCTTAACTCCACCAACAATAGAATTGGGCCAAACTTCCCACACAGAACACCCGCCATGACCAACAGAAAATACTGTGTTTTCTAATGGTCTTTTGCGACCCCTCTGACATCCCCTCACGACCCCCTCAGGGGTCCCGACCCCCAGGTTGAGAAACGCTGTGCTAAAGAGGAAGGAGAGAGAAAGCAAACAGACTGTTTGTAAGAGAAAGTCTATTAGATATAATAATATAATAATAAACTTTATTTAATACCCCGCCACCATCTCCCCAATAGGGACTTGGGGTGGCTTACATGAGGCCAAGCCCAACAGTATATTACAATAAGGTAAAACCAAAACACAAGATATGTCTTGTTCCACACTGTTTCTAGACATACATGACTTGCATACTTTCCTGAATGAGTCTATGCTTATCTCAAAAAGCATACCAAAGCACCCCTGAAAGGGCATGTAATATTTTGAAAGAGATCACATTTTGCAAAATAATATTTTCAAAATGGATATTTAAAGGAAAAACCCCTTTAAAGGCCAATATCAGGAGAAAGGCAGGATATTTTTACACACACACACACATATTGGATAAAATAGTGATGAGTAGAGACATCACACTGGCAACCAAGATCTGCATAGTTAAAGCAATGGTATTCCCCCGGATGTGAGAGCTGGACCATAGGGAAGGCTGAGCGAAGGAAGATAGATGCTTTTGAACTGTGGTGTTGGAGGAAAGTTCTGAGAGTGCCTTGGACCGCCAGAAGATCCAACCAGTCCATATTTCAGGATAGTAGAGGCAAAGATGAAGTATTTCGGCCACATAATGAGAAGACAGGAAAGCTTAGAGAAGACAATGATGCTGGGGAAAATGGAAGGGAAAAGGACGAGAGCCCGACCAAGAGCGAGATGGATGGATGGTATCCTTGAAGTGACTGGCTTGACTCTGAAGGAGCTGGGGGTGGCCACAGCCGAGACAGAGCTCTGGCATGGACTGGTCCATGAGGTCATGAAGAGTCGGAAGTGACTGAACGAATGAACAACAACAACCGTGTGTGTGTGTGTGTTTGTGTGTGTATGTGTATGTATGTGTGTGTGTGTGTGTGTGTGTGTGTGTGTGTGTGTGTGTGTGTATATATATATATATATATATATATATATATATATATATATATATATCAGTGGGTGTGTGTGTGGGTGGGTGGTTTTAAAAGTCAAAACCATAGATTTCATAGAATCATAGATCTGGAAGAGACCTTGTGAGCCACCCAGTCCAACCTCCTGCCAATTCTACCAGACTAACGGATGCTTGCATGAGAAGCTGAACTAGACCAGAATGAGAAGGACTGCTCTGCCCATTCCCTCCTCCTTGCAAGGCCAGCCCTCCCATTGTAGACCTGAGGTCATTTCTCCCAAAGGCCAGGGACCAGTTGGGGTCACCAGCCCATTCCCTTTTCTTTAGGATGATGCTCTCCTCCTCCTCTCCTTTGTTCCAGCCTCCCATTCACCCTCTTCCATTTATGAGCGCACTAGAAGTTCCTGGGAATGTAAAACAGTGATTTCCCTATTATTAAAAAAAAAGGCAAACTTCTACTCACATGTGCCAGCGTGCCAAACCGAAAAGCACTCTGCTCTCCTGACTGGTCCCTTGGTCCCACTGCTCCATGAATGAGAATGCTCCCTGCTTGAATCCACCATCTCTTGGGGGTGGAGGGGCAGGAGACAAAGACCCCTCCCCAGCCCAGCCCAGTTGGGAGACTGAGGAGATGCTGTCTGCTGCGGCTGCTGTTGCTGCTGCGGCTCTAATCTGCTTTGTACAACTTAATAAGCAACTGCCAACATCCCTGGCTTTGCACTTAGCTGTTATTGCCTCTGGCCGCCCCCTCCCAATGCTTTACAGCACCGCGTCTTTAATAACCTAGAGTTCCGAGGCAGGAAGGTTTTTCAAAGACGGACGTACTGGACGTGCATGTGCAGCGCACGAACACTAAGTCGCACGGGCAGGCTTTTTTATGGGGCACATTGCAGATATATATACCATTTGTACATTTAACATAATTGCATGTGTTAGGCTGGGAAAACGCATGGAAAACATTCTACTGTGGCAGAATGTTTGGGTTCCCATCTCCTTCAATACATGTTGGCCACTCTAATAAATAGAATCACAGAATCATAGAGTTGGAAGAGACCTCATGGGCCATCCAATCCAACCCCCTGCCAAGAAGCAGGAAAATCGCATTCAAAGCATCCCCGACTGATGAACATCAGTCTCTTGTTTATAAGCCTCCAAAGAGGAGCCTCCACCACACTCTGGAGAAGAGAGTTCCACTGTTGAACAGTTCTCACAGTCAGGAAGTTCTTCCTAATGTTCAGGTGGAATCTCCTTTCTTGCAGTTTGAAGCAATTGCTCCACATCCTAGTCTCCAGGGCAGCAGAAAACAAGCATGCTCCCTCCTCCTTAGGACTTCCCCTTGCATATTTATACATGGCTATCATGTCTCGCCTCAGTCTTCTCTTCTGTAGGCTAAACATGCCCAGCTCTTTGAGTAACTCCTCATAGGGCTTGTTCTCCAGACCTTTGATCATTTTAGTCGCCCTCCATGACTTCCCTGGATCTAGACGCTATACTCCTATTGATGCAGTCATGCAGGCCAAAATCCCATTGGCTTTTTTAGCCGCCACATGACATTGTTTGCTCATGTTTAACTTGTTGTCCACGAGGACTCCAAGATCTTTTTCACATGTACTGCTGTTGAGCCAGACATCCCCCATTCTGTATCTTTGCATTTATTTTTTCCCCTGCCTAATTGGAGTATGCTGCATTTATCCTGTTAAGTTTCATCTCTCTAATCTGTTACGATTGTTTTGAATTCTGCTCCTGCCTTCTGGAGTATTAGTTCTCCCTCCCAATTTGGTGTCTTCTGCAAACTTGGTGATCATGCCTTCTAACCCTTCATCTAACTCATGAATAAAGATGTTTAATAAATTAATAAATGGATAGGGATGCCTTTAAGACAGTGGTTCTCAACCTTCTTAATGCTGTGACCCCTTAATACAGTTCCTCATGTTGTGGTGACCTCCAATCATGAAATTATTTTCGTTGCTACTTCATAAGTGTAATTTTGCTTCTGTTATGCATAGTAATGTAAATATCTGATATGGAGGATATATTTTCATTCACTGGACCAAATTTGGCACAAATACCCGATACACCCAAATTTGTATACCTGTGGGGTTGGGAGGATTGATTTTGTCATTTGAGAATTGTAGTAGCTGGGATGTATAGTTCATCTACAATCAAAGAGCATTCTAAACTCCACTAACAATGGAATTGAACCAAACTTGGCACACAGAACTCCCATGACCAACAGAAAACACTGGAAGGGTTTGGTGGGCGTTGACCTTGAGTTTTGGAGTTGTAGTTCACCTGCATTCAGAGAGCACTGTGGACTCAAACAATGATAGATCTGGACCAAACTTGGAACGAATCCTCAAAAATGCCCAAATGGGAACACTGGTGGAGTTTGGGGAAAATAGGCCTTGACATTTTGGGAATTGTAATTGCTGGGATTTATAGAGCTCCCGTGACCAACAGAAAATACTGGAAGGGTTTGGTGGGCATTGACCTTGAGTTTTGGAGTTGTAGTTCACCTACATCCAGAGAGCACTGTGGACTCAAACAATGATAGATCTGGACCAAACTTGGAATGAATCCTTAAAAATGCCCAAATGGGAACACTGGTGGAGTTGTAGTTGACATTTTGGGAGTTGTAGTTGCTGGGATTTATAGAGCTCCCGTGACCAACAGAAAATACTGGAAGGGTTTGGTGGGCATTGACCTTGAGTCTTGGAGTTGTAGTTCACCTACATCCAAGGCGTTGACCTTGAGTTTTAGAGTTGTAGTTCACCTGCATCCAGAGAGCATGGTGGACTCAGACAATGATGGATCCGACCAAACTTGACATGGATGCCCAATATGTTCAAATGTGAACACTGGTGGAGTTTTAGGCTATACAGCCCAGAAAACTCACAGCAGCTCAGTGTTTCTAGCCATGAAACACCTTGGGGGGGGCTCTTCTAACTCTAGGATTCTGTGAACTACACTTGGTTGTGGGATTTTGGTCAGGTGGATGAGACTCCACTGCTGCAGCCTGCTATAAGGGTAATTCTTAAACTCACTCTTGGATTTGGAAGGTCAATAGAGTCCCTGCCCTTCTTGTCCTCCCTGATGCGCATTAACTCTGGGCACTTTCCTTCCACTGAAGCCTCTTTACTTTCAGCCAACTTGCTTGTTCACTTCCACTTCCCTCCACCCTCACTTGCCAGTTTTCTACTTTCCCTCATAGGGACTTACCTGCTGCCATCCTGGCTGCCCCTGGAAGAGCCTCTTCGGAGAAAGGCACCTCTCTCTCCCATTTCATGGTTGCTTTCTCCATAGCATAGTGGGGAAGAAGAGCATTGCCTGGAGACTTAGGAGTACAAGACTTCAGAAAGGAGGAGCTGCAGCGGAGGAAGGGAGGGGGGGGGGGCTGGAGAGGCCAAGGAAGGGTTCTCTACCCTTCCCTGCCATGGACCATGGAGAGGACCCAGAGTAGGAGAAACCAAGCTCACTCCTCCTCAATGGGATATGCTTTCAAATAATTAAAGATGTGTATCACGTCCCTTCTCAGACTTCCCTTTTATTTATTTATTTATTTATTTATTTATTTATTTACTTTGCTTATATACCGCTGTATCTCAAGCCCGAAGGCGACTCACAGCGGTTCACAAACAGTAGAAACAGTAGAAACAGCAGTGGTTCCATACAACATATAACAATTGACTTAACACATTATCCATAAATTACCAATAAGCAATTACAATGCACAATTATTCCAAAAAACAACCGTACCCAAAGATGCCTTGCCTAAATACCCTAAAGCAGTGTTTCTCAACCTGGGAGTTGGAACCCCTGGGGGAGTTGGGAGGCAGCGTCAGAGGGGTCACCAAAGGCCATTAGAAAACACATTGCTTTCTGTTGGTCATGGGGTACTGTGTGGGAAGTTTGGTCGAATTCTATTGTTGGTGGGGTTCAGAAAGCTCTTTGATTGTAGGTGAACTATAAATCACAGCAACTACAACTCCTAAATGTCAAGATCTATTTTCCCTAAACTCCATCAATGTTCACATCTGGGCATATTGAATATTCGTGCCAAATTTGGTCCATCTCCATTATTGTTTGAGTCCACAGTGCTCTTTGGATTTAGGTGAACTACAACTCCAAAACTCAAGGTCAGTGCCCACCAAAGCCGTCCAGTATTTTCTGTTGTTCATACGAGTTCTGTGTGCCAAGTTTGGTTCAATTCCATCGTTAGTGGAGTTTAGAATGCTCTTTGATTGTAGGGTAACTATAAATACCAGCAACTACATGTCCCAAATGACAAAATCAATCCCCCTCCCCAACCCCACCCATATTGAAATGTGGGCGTATTGGGTATTTGTGCTCAATTTGGTTCAGTGAATGAAAATACATCCTGCATATTGGATTTTTACATTACGATTCATAACAGCACAATTACAGTTATGAAGTAGCAGCGAAAATAATTTTATTGTTGGGGATCACCACAACATGAGGAACTGTATTAAGGGGTCACAGCATTAGGAAGGTCAAGAAACACTGAACTATAGGATTCAATGATTCAAAGGCTATTATGGGATACTCGTAGCTGGGCATATTGAGGATTGGTGCCAAGTTTGGTCCGGATCTATCATTGAGTCCACAGTGCCCATCAAACCCTTCCAGGAATTTCTGTTGGCCATGGGAGCTCTATAAATCCCAGCAACTACAACTCCCAAAATGTCAACTACAACTCCACCAGTGTTCCCATTTGGGCATTTTTAAGGATTCATTCCAAGTTTGGTCCAGATCTATCATTGTTTGAGTCCACAGTGCTCTCTGGATGTAGGTGAACTACAACTTCAAAACTCAAGGTCAATGCCCACCAAACCCTTCCAGTATTTTCTGGACAACTCCCAAATGTCAAGGTCTACTTTCCCCAAACTCCACCAGTGTTCACACTTGGGCATATTGAGTATTCGTGCCAATTTTGGTCCAGCTCCATCATTGTTTGCGTCTACAGTCAGGGGCGGCTCAACCATTACGCAAAGTAAGCGTTTGCAGTATAGTTGATTTTGCCCAGGGGCGCTCTTGAGGCGCTCTTGGGGGAAAATAGACCTTGACATATGCGGGTTGTAGTTACTGGGATATATAGTTCACCTACAATCAAAGAGCATTCTGAACTCCAATGATGGAATTGAACCAAATATGGCACCAGAGGCGGCCTAGGTAATTTTCAATGGTAAGCAAACAGTATTTTGGCGCCCCCCCCCCCCAACCAATAATTGATATATATTTTCTGTTTGTCATGGGAGTTCTGTGTGCCATATTTGGTTCAATTCCATCATTGGTGGAGTTCAGAATGCTCTTTGATTGTAGGTGAACTATACATCCCAGTAACTACAACTCATATGTCAAGGTCTATTTTCCCCCAAGAGTGCCCCAAGAGCGCCCCTGGGCAAAATCAACTATACTGCAAATGCTTACTTTGCGTAATGAGTTGAGCCGCCCCTGTATACATGGCAAATAGACAGAAAATATATATCAAGTGATTGGGGGGGGGGGGGGGGGATATTGTTTGCTTACCGTTGAAAATTACCTAGGGCCGCCTCTGTCTACAGTGCTCTCTGGATGGAGGTGAACTACAACTCCAGAACTCAAGATCAATGCCCACCAAACCCTTCCAGTATTTTCCCTTGGTCATGGGAGTTCTGTGTGCCAAGTTTGGCTCAATTCCATCATTGGTGGAGTTCAGAATGCTCTTTGATTGTAGGTTAACTATAAATCCCAGCAACTACAACTCCCAAATGACAAAATCAATCAAATTTGGGTGTATCAGG